TATCTATATATTGCGATAAAGGTTCTCTAAATTCATCTCAGACATTATATAAACATGTTTATCGATTACATATTATTTTCTCTATATAGTTTCAAAAAAATAATTTACCTTTTTTTCAGGTAAATATCCAGGCAGTTTTCGCGTGCTCGGTTGTCACGAGGGTGTCATGCCGAAGGGGTGAAAGGGCTGTAGCTAGGTAAGCAGCTAAATAAAAATCAGTACATCATATCGAGCGATCCTATAAATAGCCTCGAAGTAAACGAGAGACTTGAATGTATTAGAGCCGCCTGACTTGCTGTATCATCTTTTACACAAATTATAAAAATACATCGCTATACATGGTTCGTATATTATTGAAATTATTGTACTTGGCTGCCTCTCGGATGTTCCGCGTCTCTATATAATAGTAAAACGAAAGAAGATTATTGCAGAGTATTAAATACATAGAGCTTTTTAAATGGTAATTCTATTCAACGCTTTTTCGCGAAACTTTTTTTCTACAAATGAGAAAAGCGCGATTATACTTGTTCCACCGATCGGTTCGCGATTAAAACGAATCATTCGACGATTTTCCGTGCATCCTTTTCGCCTAACAACAATCGGTATTCACGAAATTGTTAGTTTTTATCTGACCGATGTGCGTTTAATGTATCCAAGTCGATGGATCGATAGAGATTAGGGTGGAGGGTTACGGTTGGTGATGGACGAAGGGAAAACCCGCTTAGCGTGACCTTGTCTGCTATTTTTGGAGGGTGGCATGTGATTGGAAGATGGCTCTTTTTTTAGCCGGCGACTGAAAAAAAAATTCCACCGTCGATCGAATTAGATCCACGGGGAAGAACCGCGCTCGTCAAAGATTACACGCGAGGAACTCGTCAGCGACTTTTCTCTTTCGCTTTACAACAGTTTTGCTAGTCGCGACTCTCTGAAGGAAACCACCTGTGGTTTACAAAATATAGGAGATCATGCATTTTCCAAATATATATGACGCATCGATATCGCAGAGCGTGATTGATAGGGAAGGAAATGTAATATAAACATAAACGAATTTTCCTTTTGAGAAAATTTTGTGCGAGAAATGAATTTCGATTACCTATGTATTTCGAGAAAAGAAAGAATATGAATTTAAAATACAAGAAATTAAAATTAACCGTATTTTTTCCGAGTCCAAAATAGTCATATAAAGAATATCACACTCTTGTTATTTTTTCCTTCTTTTAAATTTGACTTTGTAATAATGATATCGTTACATTATTAATCGCGATTGGAAATGCGCGAGAAATTTATTCTCTTTTTATGTATTTATAGAAACTACGCTCTAATGATATTTTATCGCACGTTTTTCAATTCAATCAATTTGACAGCCTTCATACATTATTCACCAGTCGCGATGTTTGATATAAATTTTTCGGGTAACGACGCACTTGTTCTTTCGCAAAATGCAAATCCGCTGCTGCTGTAACCGCACGCGCGCGCTGCCGAGATTGCGTCAGAGAGCGCGATCTCGGACCAAATGTCAATTTGCGCAGCGACATGATTAATCCAAGAACGAGCGAAATAATACTGCTTGTCCGGCTTACCAATGGCACGGTAAAGGAAATATTGACAAATGGATTTCTCTGTTCCGATTGAACCGATTCGACTTATTAAGATACGATACAAAGGATTCTATACAATGAATAGAATTTCCTAAAACTGTTTACCATAATTGTAATAACAGACCCTTTGACAGATTTGAAATCGAAATTTTTTTGGAGGAAGAGAGGAACTCTATCATTTCTTATCGGAATTTTTTAACAAGGTTTTTAACATTAAATATTTAAATTTAAAAAAATGTACGATATTTTGTATTTTGGCGATATTTTAAATATCATTTCTATAATTGTAAAATTTGACAAAATTCATATAAAAAAATTTACTATCAAATAATTAAGAAATCTGAAAAACTTCAAGATTGCTATTAATGTGAAGGAAATTCTTTTTACGTAATAAAATTTATATTTAATATATATTGACCAATTCACATACACACACACACACATACACGCGCAGTAAAAAGTTTTATTATATAATCGGGCTGGAAGCTTCAATGGATATATACAATATGATATGGCAATACTAGCTATTTTTTTTTCTTCCCCGTACTATGACCGTACAGTCGATAAGCGTAATCTGTGCAGTGTCATTAACGCCGGCGACGCGGTGGCTGATTATTGTACGATTTCGGTGAATTAAAGCGGAGAAAACAAAGGTTTCGCGATAAGAGAGCTTCCGGGAGCAGCCAGCCGCAGCGCCCACGGACTTCCGATAGCGCGCAATGCATTTTTAATCCGATTCAGATTACCGTGTATTTTTTTTCATACTGAAACTTGCTTCCTATACAAGCTGCAAATTTCCAAGAGACGATTAGCCGAGAATTAACGACTGTATTTTTTATCTAAAATCTTAAATTAATATTAAATTATTTTCAGTTTTAAGTGGAGCACATTTTTGAACAAACAAATGTATACGTGCAAAAAAGATTACAAATTAATCGAAGAATATAATGAAAATTTATTTGCATGAAAGTAAAATTATATAGAGGAAAGTTGATTTATAGTTTCTGATGAAAACATTTCGCAAAATTGAGAAGCACTCTTCTATAAAAATAGGTTTTTTTTTTTTATTTTTTTAAATTAGCCGATTTAATTTAATCCACGCCACAGCGTAATCGTAAAAAAATTAGCAGCGCAAGTTCAGCATTAAACATTGCGACGCGATGCGTTTATTAGAAATTTAACGGTTCCGTAGATGGTAGCAGCAAATGTTAGCCAAAGTATTACGTTGGCGGACATATTACGTCTCTCACGTAGGCAGGTAGACGTAGACCCGAGAGGGAGGATATAAACTGATTGGGATATAAATATCGGTCGCAAGGAAAATATCGATTTTTCTATCGTAGTGTAAGGCGAGCCCCTGGGCTTGCTCGTCAGTGATTAATCGGGCCCCATCTATTTATGACGAGGAAACCGAGTTGAATAGAATGACGTACGAACCAAACCGCCCACGTTATCGTAGCGCCCGTTTGCATTTGCTCCTCGTTCGATCCTCGCGTCATTTGCACAGAACGTTTGCATTGGACACGTGTCACGAATATTTACAATTGCTTATTTTGCTTGCGTACAAATATTCCTAACGAGAGATAAAAGAGGTTATTTTAGGTGCGCGCCAAATGAGGAAAATTAGAGATATTTAAAGATAAGCTTTATAATAAACTTCTTTACACGTGCGTGTACGTGAGATAATTATACGGTCGCTTATATTAGTGTTACATTCGTAAAATAAATTCGTCGAATGGAGAAAATAGATAAACTTGTGATATACATATATTAATGTTTGCGATTATAATAATATTATACTAAACATTTGAATTTTAAGAGTTTAACTAGGCTCTGTAATATAAATATAAATTTAACATATATAAGATAGAATTTAACATATATATGTTAAATTTATATTTATATTACAGAGCCTAGTTAAACTCTTAATTTATACACGCTGGCTTAAAGGCGTTTATTTACCAACATTAATATATATAACAGAGAAAAGTATAGAATCGAAAGGATCTGAATAGCTCAGTTGGAAGAGCAGTCGCCCGGCAAGCGAAAGGTCTCGGGTTCGATTCCCGATTCTGCGACTTTCGGATCTATATTTTTCTCTCGCATTTATTTCTTTAGGGGGAATAGGGGGTACATGGAATTAAAAATCTCTTGTAGAGATTATTCCAATTTTATATCTTGGCCGTGTCCAAGTAAAATTTGGTGCCTTGTGCACAGGTATTTAATTCTAACGAAAAAAATTTAGTTTCGTTTAGAATAACGCACTGTCATCCGCGATTTGGCTCTTATTGCCTATCTTATATATGTTAAATTTATATTTGAATTTTAATTTTATTTGTGATTATTAATAAACCTCGTATGAAGAGAATTTTCTCTTATAGAATTTACCCTGAAAATAATCGTGGAACAATATGGTATTGCAAGAATTTTTTAAGAATTTCTCTGATTAATATTCACCACAATCAAAAATATTAATATATACATCTTATTGTGGTATAAATATTAATATTTTTATTATCACAATTACCACGATTTTCAGAGGATAAATTCTAAGAGAAAATTTTCTCTGTACATTTTTAGAGAGGCTTATAATTAATAATAAATTCGAATTATGCTACATAGTTTCAGACAAATTTATAATTACTAGTAAATTTAAATTTGTTCTCAAACTTTCAAACAATTAATAAATCTCGATAAAATTAAAAATCGCAGGGTAATTATACAATTTTTCCGGAATTGAGTATGTAATACAGATGTGCGATCGGATGATTCGCGGCGCCGAAAGCGCGAGAGACGATCCTGAGCGCGAGGGAACGCGTGGACACAACAATGCCGAGATTCTATAAATAATCGGGCCTACGGTGGCGACCGCGCGGTGGCGCGAACAGCACTGAAAGAGAAAGAGAGAGAGAGAGAGAGAGAGAGAGAGAGAGAGAGAGAGAAGAGCGGAGCCCCACGTTAGGTGGGGAGCGCGTGAAGTTAGGAGCGGAGGGGGGGGAGAGACGTTAGGTGGGGAGCGTGCGAAGTTAGGCGCGGGTGTGAGGGAGGGGGGACGTTAGGTGGGGAGCGCGCGAAGCGACTGCGACGGTAGTTCGCTCTTGTCCGCCGCGCGGTTCGTGTCTGTGACGTCACGGCTGCCGCCGCTGTTGGCTCGTTCGTTCGACGCGACCTTCGTTTCGCGAGTTTCGCGTCGCGTCCGAGGCGAAGAACCGCGCGCGCTCTCTCGCGCGTAAATAATTGCGCTGTCAGTAGCGGATGACAGTCCGTGCGTGTGCGGTCGTTCGTGTGTGCGAGAAGTCAAGTAACTCCGAAGAGGGAGAGAGAAAGAGAGGACGGTTTTGAACGCGGCCGGTAGTGTGTCAAATTTCGAGTGTCCGTCCCCGCCTTTCTTCTCGATCTCCATCTTTCTTCGCGCTAGGAATTACGCGAGCGGAAGAGACGGAGACCTACGACGAACTTCAACGAGGTAAACAAACTATGCTAGCTTCTCTTTTTTCTTCCCTTTTTTTTTTTTTTTTTTATTGCGCGCTCGTGTTCTTTACGCGAGAACGCCGTCTCGAGGCTCGCGCGGCCGCCATATTTTCGCGATTTCGCAATGCGAGCGAAGCGACGTGCTCGCTTTACTCGACTATTGCGTTTTCTATACGTGCGAGGATCTAAAGATGCAAAATTCAAATCGTGTTTTTCGTCTCCTCTTTACTCGCATGCGCGCGCAATCCGTGTTTTTTCCGCGCCGTTCTCGGAATCCGAGAGAGAGAGAGAGAGAAGGAGGAAATATATCTTTGCCGGATAAATACATGTACACACCGAGCGAGTACGTATACTATCGGAGCAAAAACGAAGACGTAGCGCTTTCGAAGGACCCCTCCCATTCGCTCTTGTTATTTCTCTCGCGTTGATTGCGCGGCACGCTTTTATCAAATCGGTTTACGACATTGAAATATTAATGAATCCTCGAGTGCGACGAGAAAACAGACTGCATGGCGTTTAATACGATAATAAATATTTCTTTCCGCAGCAAAACAGATCGTCCATGTTTTTTTACCGCGCAATATATATATATATTGTATATATATGTACCATGCGCCGTCAATTGAATTCAGACATTTATTTGTCTAATTTAAAGATCACGTTCCGCGTCCACGTGATGTGACGAAATCGGACAGTCCTGCAGTCTTTTAAATGCGAGGCCGAACGTGTTCGGAACGTCAATATACGATGTACGTTTACAGAAATTTGTTGTTTACGAGGAAATGTCAATAGGAGAGAAAGAGCAAAGTTGTATTTCTCTCTCTCTCTCTCTCATTCGAATAGCAGGAAAACGCTCCGCATGCAGGAAACACCTGTTGTGTGCGACGCCCACGTTCGGAGTCGATCGTTTGCGCGTCGCGTCGTGTCGACTTGCGTCGGTGGTTTTATTAAACACGCCTCTTTAATCTTCCGCGATCCGAATTTATTTCAAACAAATGTGCGCGACATTGTATTTTCATATTAATATTAATGGAAAATATTAGGTCTCGATATTAAATTATTTATTATTCATATTATTGGCGTTATCCAAAGTAACGATCAATATCCCTTGTAGGATTTGATGGAAAATTATAGTCATGATTACATTCGTTAATCATTTATCATTTTGAATATATAAAAGGACTACGTAAATAATCGTTTGTAGAGAGTAATTGTGAGATAATAGAACGATACATTATTCTCTAAATAATTATAAGTTATATTTTCCGATTATTTTTTTGCAAATAAATCTATGAAAAATATAAAAATATGATATTTTTAAGTTTTTCTAAAATTAGCATACATAATTTATCATATTTCAATATTAATGCAAGAGAGAAAGATTTGATTTCTTCGGAATTTGATGTCTTTGTAAGATTAGAATATTGTTTATTCCGACATTAAAAATTCTTATAAGATATATTAATAGATTAATTAAAATATTTAGAAACATACTCCGGCGTATTTAACTGCACTTTATTATTAAAAATTGCTAATTCGATCTTTCTGGAAATAATTTAATATTTTATCAATCCAGATTCATCATAGCAAAAATATCAGATGGCAATTTATTTGCATTTTTAAAATCGTGATAAGTTTACAGAGAATTTTCTCTTAAAATTTACCCTGAAAATGATAACAATCGTGGGATAATATGGTATATATTGGAAGAATTTTATAAGTCTTTCTGATTAATATTTACCACAATAAAAAAGTATTAATATCCATCACAATAAAATATAAAATATATTCGATTAATTTTATATTTTATGTACATTTTAATATTTTTTATTGTGGTAAATATTAATCAGAGAAAATTTATAAATTTCTTCCAATACCATAGGTTTTGTTCCACGATTATTATAATTTTCAGAGTAAATTCTAACAAGAGAAAATTCTCCGCGTACATTTTAATTCTATACACTTTCTGCCATATCGCATGTAATTTTGGATTAAATTATTTTTTAACACTATTGTCACGAAAGAGTTAAACAAAAACAAATTTGTATATATATGTATTTATATAAAATTTATATAAAGAAAAAAATTGTCCACGTCTCTTCTGAAAACATTGTCGCGAAATAGAGAAATAATGTGATGATTTACACTGCTCGCTACCGATATAATGGATATGAAGGACCGCATTTTCATTCGCGTTGAATGAACAGCGACTAAACCTATGATAGAACAACTTCGATCCATCGATCGCGGTCGTATAGTTGAGAGAGAACGTTGTCGTTTCAGCGGTCAACGAACGAAAACGACGCGACGCGAACGCGTCGAGAAAGATTTACGCACGAGTTGCATCGCGCAATACAATGATGACGAGCAACGTCGACCACGTTTGTCGAATCGAAACGCACACATGTGTAGTAGTAGAATGGAACAATGATATTTCGAGAGAATCTTTTTGCACACGCACGAGAATCTCCTGACATTTGCGCCGGTTTATAAGAGATTAATATCTCGGTAACCTTATCCAACACGCGAAACACGCATAAATAATATTTTGCGTAATGAAGAGAAACATTGTTGTAACTACATACGTCACGACGTATATTTATACAATATTTGTTTGATTCCGCAACGTCATTGAATCCGACATCAAATTAATCGGCGGCATATCTCTGTGCGATCCGGAGTGTGCAAGAAAATCGACCATCATGTTATTTAATATCTTTTTACTTGACACTTTTTTTATTCAAAGTTTTTTTTCTCAGCATGACTAACCGCAGACAATACTATCATCATAGAAATTTATTTTGTACTCTGATCTCTTTAAATTCTAGGCAAATTTATTTTCAACGATTTATTATTACTCTGTTATTTTTGTTATATCTACAACTACATAATACTCTATATTTAAATCAGATGAGGTAATGAAATCTTGATTACGCGATTTACGCAACAAAACTGTCAATGTTATGTAATCAATAATATATGCTCCTGCATAACGTGGATTATTACCGAACTAATTAGCAGCACGTTGAGGTATACAGTTTAATCAGATTAAGCGGATTCACACATGCAGAATATTGGAAATTCTTTTAAGTAGATTCGACGCGCGTGTCTACGATCGATAAACACGCTCGAACTTGAATGATACTTGTGATAAAAACCTCACTTTATATATTTATATAATTGCAATTTTACAGATATAAAACATTGGCGACATTAGATTTACGCGTGTAAAAACAAAATATATTCTTATATGAATTAAAATTTGTGGTAACAAATGCAATAATTCAACAAGTAAACTATAAGCACAAAAATATATAAAGATCGTCGGAATTTATTTTTAAAAAATTTCATTTTTTGATCGCTATTAACAATAATTTTTAATAAAGACCATCATTACACACATGTGCACTTTAAAGTCATTTGTGTAATAATTTTCTATAATAATAATAATAATAATATATAATTCCTTTTTAAAATGATATTACGATCATCTGACATTAATTTAGACATAATTACATATTAGTTGAAATTCGATTATAATCTAAAAAATAGCTATTCTTCAATATTTTCGTAAGAGTAAAAATTTCAAATTCTTTTATACAGCGGTACTTACATCTGTTTAATGTTTTATCAAATATTCTCTATACCGTATAAAACAAAAAAATTAAATAGCAATAAATAAAACAATAAGCAAAAAATAAAATTTAATGAAAGGAGGGAGGAATTAAATTTTCACCTGGATCGCGGAATCTCGCGATTCCTACCTTTTTTCTCGCTCATATCGATTCATCGAGGCATATAGAAGTTAAAGAATCTTACTTCCGAAGCTGTCGTCGTTTCCCACGTAACCGTGTAACCCGTACATATTACACGCACACATACAAGAGTGAAAGAAACAGATGAGATATAGAAACTTTCCCCTCATAAAACGCACGATATCATCGCGGGTCACTTCTTTCGCGGAGCAACGGATCGCAAGTTCGTTCTCCTCGTGTCTCGACCCACATAGTGAGTTCTCGCAACTGTCGCTATAATAATGAACGATCGCCAGTGATGAACTTGATAATTAAGCCGACACACAGATATTAACATCGTAATTTTTTTCGAATTTTAAGCACCATACTTTGCAAAGTCAATATTAATTATTGGGATTTGCTCGAGAAATTCTTTGAAGTCTTAAAAAAGTGTTGGAGTGAAAAAAATGTGCTTCACAAAACTTTGCTATATGGAACATCCAGATCTTTTCTAATGGAAAATATTATCTTAAATTTTTATATACAGATCACAGAAACTTTATTTAATTAAATATAATATAATTTTAATAAATATAATAAATATAAATTAATAATTTAATAAATATAAATATAATTCTAGTTGTTTTTTGTTATTTATTAATCATGTCACACTTTAAAATAAATATGCTCAACCTACATAAAATAATAAAATAGAAATAAATGTTTTTTTTCGAAAGTTTTCATTTTAATTGAATACGTAGATATAAAAAGATCTGGACCAATTTACTCTTCGTTAGTGAACAGATTAACTTAGGTTATCAACAGAATGCATTTTTATCTGTCATTGTGAAGGAAATTACGCGAGCGAAAAATCTGAAAAATGTTTATTTGGTTTTATTCCTCTTTTTTTTTTTTTTATTAGAGAGTAGAAGGATCAACGAACGTTACTTTGCATACGCGACCGAAATTTTCCAACATCGATGCGAAATTAAAATTAAATGCCATCGGTGAGTCGGCGAAAGTTTCGCCGACTCGCCGGATTCGTCGGGTGTAAATTTATGCGATGCCCATGTCTATATACATATCTACACACTTTAAGGTTCTTTAAGAATTCAATACCATATACCACGCGCATGATGAGGGGTTCGAAAGCTTGCCTTTACATTTGCCGCTCTTGTTTACGCATATATATCTGAAACTCGTTCCACGTGCGACAAGTATACATACATATGTATAGGATATGTGTGTGTGTGTGTGTGTG